GTGACTTCTTCTTGGGATTCAGTCTAGGTGGTGTTCTTTCAATCTCCTGAATGGTTACCTGGTTTTCATTCATTAAGCTGGGGAAGTTTTTCTCCAAGAATTCTCTCACTAGTTTGCAGATGACTTCTTTGTTATGTCTTCCTCCAGTAATTCAATTATTCTGATGTTGTTCCTATTCATAGCATCAGGCATAGCTCTTAGGTTTTCTTCAGCTTCTCTGATGATCTTATTAGATTTTTGTATACACTTGTTAAAGTCTGCTTGGCTGTCCTCAGGGTCACTGTGTTTCTCTGCCTCCTGCAGTCAGTTGACGAAATCCATGAGTCTGTTACTGATTTTTGTTATCTTGTCCCTAAGCTCTTGTATTTCCCTTTGGTGTGCAGTCTTTATCTCCTCTATCATTTCATCCTTTTTCTGTGTTGTTTCCCTCATATCCTGTATGACTCCAAGCAGCATTCTGAAAATTTCTTTCTGTGGCAGATCAATGTCTATGCACATTGTTAGGTTCAGGACACCTTCCAACATTGCTTTCAGTTTCTCCTGTTTTTTCTTTGAGGTTGTTAGGGCTGATTGCTGTTTGCATTGTGTTGTTTTAGAGGAGCCAGGTGCTATTTTCCAGGGAGTCTAAGAGCACTGACTCTCTCTGGGAGACTCGTATGAATGCTTCTTCAAACTGCCTGCAGCTAATTGTACTATCGAATTGGCCTACCGCTTTATCCTCCTGTGGTTCCTCTTTCCATAATCATTCAGTATTCTGTTATTTGAAGGGCAAGTTGGATGGTCAACCAATATGCTGTTATTTGAAGGTCACGTTGGATGGTCCTCTCAGGGGACACTGGTTGAGTTGTTGTGGACCCGCAAGGATGGTGCTGCACTGGGTGATTTCACAAGAAGCTGCGATGGTGTGGCCCACGGCAGCTTTGATCACCCCAGAGGGCATACGGTGGGTGCCTGCTGAAACAGGAGTGCCACAGAATGTAGGTGGTTGTGCCAGTTTTGGTGTAGAGCATCTCGTTGCAGAGTTTGGGCACAGGTTCCCACAGCAGCGCAGAGCCTTGGCGAGTGTTGGCCAAGCTGCCTAGACCATGTGTGGCACTACGGCAAGCAGGAGGAAGTTACCTCAATCATGTGGGACCACAGAGGATGGGTAGGAGCTCCCCAAGCCACATAAGCAGGATTTTCCCTGGAAGAAGGTGTGAAAGATTTCCCCTGGAGGAAGGTGGGCAGGCTTTCCCCAGCCTAGGGTTACACTGCAGAGGGTGGAGCTCTCTCAGCTGGGAGGAGGGCAGGTGTAAATGCCCTAGGCTAAGGGGAGTAGCCTTGAGGCCGGCAGTGGCAAGTGAGAAAAAAGGAAAGTGAAAAAGAAAAAAAGGAAGAAAAAACCTGAGCCCACTGAGAATGTGGGGGCAAAGAGAAGAGATGGAAACAAAAGTAACAATATAGCTTAGCCCTCATCCCTGACTGTGGGGCTGGAGAGGTTTAAACCCTGCCCCAAGGCAGTGGCAAGCTGTGGCTGTGTTGAGATAAAGTGCTTGATCCTGGCTTTGGCCAAGACAGTGGCAGGGTAAGTTTAAACCCTAGCCAGTCTCCACTGTGATAAGCCAAAAGCCCCCAGCTACTCAAAACCTAGCGAATCTGTGCCTACTTATCTTGATGATGCTCCTCCTGCAACCTAGCAGTGTGGAATTTCCCTCTTAGTAACTCTCCTTCACTGATTTCTGCA